ATCATTTTGTGATATTTGCAATAATAATCGAGATATTAATTATTAAAACTTACCGTATTAGCCCGGCTCACCGGCAAATGCATACGATAAGATACTTCCGCCCGGCGATCATTGATAGACGCGTGAGGAATTGTTTACTTCAAGCGGCTCGTGCGTAGCTATTGCCGTTTAGATGTTACTTATATAGCATGTCTTATGTGTAATTTATCAATTGGGGACATAAATTATAGTGAGCATTACCATATTGCTACTGAATGCAGAATTATCTCTTTTATAGTTTCAATTGAATTTTTAATAAATTTAAACAGATTCAGTATTCTTAAGTTCATCTATAATATAATTATGAATGGTCGATTTCGTATATTATGAATTAAATTTATTAAATTAAATGATAAGTCGAAACAAATTTGTACATCGTGATTTTCTGACAGCGAATATAAAATTTTGGCAAAACGTTATTCTCTTTAGATACTTGAATGAAGAATATGCAGTTAAACATCATTTTTTATTAACGTTGACAGATAATTTGAACGTTAATCGGTACCAACCAAAACCGAATATATCGATTTTGATGAGAATAATATCACGTAGACAACCGTATAGTTCTATTCTATTATAAAACACAAATTATTGGAAATTCTATTGTAAAAATTGGTTCTTCTAGAAAATGTTAGTTAGCAGATTAAGATAAAAAAAAGCGAGCAGTGAATTTATTTCTACCAAAGTAACAATGCTCGTTACACTCGCACAGCACTGAATTACCTGTCCACCACGTTGTTCTTTTTTTCCACTATATTGATTGGGCTACGAGACTTCCTATAGCTAATAAAAGTATCCGGAAGTTTGCAAAAAATATATTGAGGCAACGCGAAGAATTAATAGCATAGCCACTTACTTGCTAAGAATTAATACAATTTCGTTTACTTCTCATTGGCAAATTATCCCCGCAATTTTATCAAACTGTTAAATTATCGTTTTGCAATTATCTGTAAGACAATTGATAGAATGTTATTGCACAATATACAGATATTGCATGAGATTACGTAATAAGCAGAAAAGGCAGCCAGTGCGAGATGCATAATTTAAAAAATTAATGAAAAATATTTAAAAATTAGAGAAGAAATTATATAAACTGATAATTACGTTAATATAATACAGAAAAGCATATATATTAATTTCGATGAAAATATTCTGATATTGATCCGCAGTCATTTAACTGCGTGCAGAGTATCATAAAGTTTCGCGCAAATGAAACACTTTGATGACGTACCAAATAAATCAATGTTTCACTCGACATGCATTTTAGCAACATCGGTTACGTACGATTATTGTTTAAAGCGGTGCGATTACGAGCCTCAAATTTGCAACTAGATTGACGAGCAACGGTTATATATTTATTACTGTACAATAATGACGGCAAATTGTCAGTCGCCATTATTAATTATTTCTATCTCTTCATCCATTTATCTCAATATAAATGTTGTAATATAATTTTAAAATACATACCTTTCAATATATAAATACTTAATACATAGTTGCATATTACGGGGGGATCGCTCTCTTTTTCTTTGAATAAGATATCGATTCGGCTGCATTATTATTATAATAAAACTGGATATAAAGAATTCGTAACGTTCAGTTGAGCTGGTTTGATGCTAGGAGAAGTAGAATATCCTTTGTAGAATACTCGACGATTCAAGAGGACGATATATTTGTGTGCTCAATGGGAATGCGATGCGGTGAGATTGCTTGAGACGGTTAAAATTTGCATCGTAAAGATCTATACAATGTCATCGTGATTACGTTTGTAATGTAGAAGAGACTTACGTTAGTGAGAACTCATATATTATTAAAAGTATTACGGCATAATAAAGCGCTAGAATAATAAAGCGCTTCTTCCAGCGTGTTTTACATAAATTTTCTTATCCAGTTAAAAATTCGCATCTGTGTTCTGGCTATTGAGATGTTTCTTTGAAAAATCGCTTCATATGCAAAATTTACAAATGGCTCGTCGTAAGTTTATTATCTCGAAAGATTTCACGGCTCTCCCGGCACGTAAAAGACTTAGTTCCGACTCTAATTATTCAAACGCAAATAGAAAAGGAAGTCAGTGAAATGGTGAATTTAAACGTCTACTTAGCGAATCAATTAATCGCGATAACAGGCGGTAACGGAATGGGTGGACGTGCCTGTAAAAAGGGCGGAAAGCGGCGAGAGAGGGATGACGAATGCATTCGAACGGTAACTCGATAAGGCAGGCGAATATCATGAAACTCGGGAGTAGCTACGATCTCTTAATTGCGAAATAATGATTCGGAAGGTCACTGAGAAGTAATATTATAGCCATTATAAGGATTGGGAGGGGCTTTGGTAGCTAAGTTCGGTAACTACAAAGTGAAGCACGAGCAATGCGGAGGAACCATATGTTGGAGTAGCAAGGCTCTCTTAAGTGCTGAGGGTCTTCGAGTAGCGAAGGGGTTCCACCGCCGAAGGGTCGCACTAAATATCTACTCTCTTGGCCTTCCACCGCATTTCACCTTGCTATCACCTCTCGAACGTATTTGGTCAGAAAGGGATACCGTTAATCGACGAACTGTTCGCGAAACTTGGTTGGTTAACTGGTGGAAATGCATCAAGAGCGTATCTGTCCTCTTAGGTCGATCTCGTTTAATACGATTCTCTCGAATCGTGTTGTTCCTCCAGCATGATTCAAGTCGAAAGTCGAAGAACAATGGTTGAGTGAATATTGAAAATGATATTCTTGATTCGATATATGTTTTCTTTTTATATACACAATACAATTTAAATTTAAAGATAAATTCAAAACAAATTATGACATTTTGCGACGTTTAATTTTAAAAACTGATTACGATAGATCGATTTTTTGCGACTGATGTATTTGCCATCATTATCTTTTCACGATAATGTGCGAGTTGCAAATTGAATCTAGCTCATGCGATTTGATTAAAACAATTCGGTCGGTTTTTTTATGCAATAATAATTATACTAACCTTATTAGGTGGCGCTTGGATCCCATGGAAAGGTAAATTTTCGTAGAATGTCTTTGTCCCGGAGTCGGGAAGTACTTCCGACACGCTGTTCACGTGATTGTTATTCGCGGCTTGATTGGGATCTGAAAATGCAAAAAGAAAATGTTAGTAACGTTGCATAACTCGTCGTGATGTGAATTGCCGACGATGGCGGTACACCTGACTATCCATAGGAATTGTGTTCCACGATCGACCAACACAATTCGACTTAATCCAATAAAATTTTTATTGGTAAAAACAGGATACAAAAGATGGAACAATGTAACAAGATAATTATAAAACTCGAATAGAGCTTGCAATCCCGAATTGGATTTCAGAATGTAGACTTTGAATTAAAAAATTCTAAGCAATCAATTGTGATTTCTATCATATCAGAATTTCTATCATATCAGAATTTCGAATTTCTGAAATACACAATCGATTTTTAATTCATATTTCTAAGATTTTAATTCATATTTCTATTTTCATTACAATACCATGATCATGTTCACTTAAAAAACATCGCGACACACAGCAGAATAATAATATCATATCGTTTGTACTTGATAATTTTTATCGTCCATAAGTTTACTAGCAAAATCTTCTCGTTAAACGGATTTCTACGTTGAATATGATAAAAGAATTTATATGTTATGTGGAAAAGTTCGAGAACAATAACGTAGCCACAGAAGGAACGCGCGAAATTATAGTTACAATATAAATCAGAAAATCGATAACATCTATGATTAATAGTTGCTGTGTGATAAGTGAAATTTATGTGGCCGATTGCTCTGTGTACTTTATACAGAACTATGAATTCTTGCGTGCGGCGTGTGTTATCACCTATAGCTAAATAATCTTCTATTGCATATACTAACGATTACGGCATTCGCACGTATGTCCGTATGTATGTGTTTCTATGTATCCTATATTTATTCGGCGATGAATATGTATTTGCGTGTACAGCTACAATAAAGTAACATATAATCTTCAGGAAAGAAATCTGCCAAAAACAAAGTTGGAAAGGGATTCTAAGTCAAAGTATACGAACAAATAAAATTGCAAGCATACACGTTATATAAAATATTCTTTATACGTACCTGCCCCGGGTTTTTTTCGCTTACGGGACACATTACCACGGTTTGGCTCGTAGGGCGGTTCCATGCCGTGCAATATCCGCTGTCGCGGCACAATTCTCTTGTAAGTCACGGCTAAAGAACATAGAATCAACAACGAGCAACATCACAAACACATAAAGCTTCTTTCTCATGCATAGCTTAAGTAAATATAAATAATGAACGTGGATACTAAAGGGCTCTGAAGAAATATTTTATATCAAATTTTAAGATTATGTTTCGTCACAAAAGCAATGAGAAAGCTATAATTGAATTTACATCAATTTATGATATTAAAATAAATTTGTTTTTATTTCCCTTTGTAATTTGAAATAAAACATCTTGTGTAAAAATTATAAATTACATATACATGTATGTGTATAGGAAATGTAAAAACATTTATTTCTATGACTTTGATTTGTTCTTTTATAAAATTATATTGGATATTGAATATAAATAATTAAATAAAAGATACAATTATATCTTTAATAAAGAAATAAAAAGTGAGAAAATTATATCAATCTTTTTTAAATTGTGTCTTTTTTAAATTGTGTAAAATGATAAATTACGTTAATATTTTTGCGAATAAAACATATGGGTATGCTAAAATACTTTGCTTTTAAAAAATATGAGTGCTTAAAAATATCATTAAATATAATATGTTATTACTTTTATGCTTATGAAAATGTTAACAAGTGAGCAAATCTTTTTTAAGAGATAGTAATTATTAAAAATATGAATAATATTTAATGTATTTTTAATTAATATGTATTTATTAAAATATAGTAGATTTTTAACTTTAATAAAATTTTGATGTGAAGTATTCTCACTTTTTAATTTGTAAATTAGATAATAACAATTTTCGAATAAGCATCATCCGAATAAACATCGTTTATCTAAGATTGAACATTCCCTAGAACATGAAGTTCCAGCTGGTATCAACGTGGAAAAGTTAGGGGTTAATTACATGCCACATACGTAGCTGTATGCTTAATGGGGCTTCAAAGTCTGCGACGTATGCAGAAAACATGCATCACGTATTCTTCAGCGCAACATGAAAATGTTTTATTAATTGTTAAATGTTTTATTAAAAAATGTTAATATTAACGAAAAAATACCTAATAAATGTGAAATAAAATCTTGGATAATGGAAAATGAAACAATAAGGTTTATTATTACTTGTGATGACAATCAAAACACTATAAAAAGTAACGCGGAACGACAACTAACGATATAATAAAATCGATATTCTAAGATATATTAGTAAGATATAAAATATCAATAAAATATATCGTTTATAAAACAAATTTATAAAACTAACTATGTAGCCATCAAATCTAAGTCAAATTTCATTATTTTTTATAGAAAAAAAAAATAATCTTTATTGTAAAAATAATACTGACTCTTGTGAACGGGTGGATGGAACAGGTTAGAGATCCATTAGTTGATTTTCGGTGGAAGAGCCATTTGTTTAACCCACTTACATTCACAAATATTTGTATCTGACAGTATGCGGTCGTATATAATCAATATTGCCATAAGCCACAAGTGTCATAATTTTTTTTGTGAAGATGAAAATACATTTAAATATCCCGCTTTAAGATCTCAATTTTTAAAATTTTTATCAAAAATACACTTAAATATCCCGCTTTAAGATTTCAATTTTTAAAATTTTTATCGAGGATTTCCAGGCAAGCAGATAATGTTGCAAATATAAACGGATTAACGTCGCATAACATCTTGCAAAGTCGCGGGCAAATAGTCTCGGACTCCTTTTCTACTACTCTTACCTGTCTTTTCTCTGGATATACCGGGTAAGGTGGTCTGTTCTTTGAGCTGTACGCCAAACATAGCTTTTATCTTGTTAGCCCGGGCGAGCATACCGTCCTCGTGCAGACTGGTCATGCTGGTTGTTCTCTGCGCGGTCTGATCTTTCCTACCACGGCGGAATACTGTCCGCGCCGGATTACGGCCGATTGATGACGTCTCGTCCAGGAACCTTTGCCTAAGCGGCTCGTCGTTATGTTTGCTCACGAGTTCGTTACGTAGATTAGCCTCGTTCGCGCGAACGCTCAGGCCGGATCGCAGACTGTGAGTTCGATTGATGTGCACCAGGACACCCGGTTTTAAGGGCCACCTCGGCGCCGGTGTCGGCTGCGTCGGGCTTTGTACCGAATGCGAGGATACCGTCGGACTGGGCGGTCCACCGTCTGGACTGTATAACGATTGAGGTCATACGGGATAATCGAGGTAAATGGGAGGACGCAACGAGTTCTTGGTGATAAAATTAGAGAGCGGAGATGGATATCCATTATAGTCGACCTTATAATGATAAATGAGATACCCATTATAGCGTTGACCCGAGCAGGCTTCAAAGTAGATCCGAATGCGTAAAATTGAACGCGCAAGAAAAGAATATTTTTCATATATTTCCATTGATGCGCAAATTGTACTAAAAACGTTCGTATCTTTTTTAAAAGGAATTAATTTTAATTTGCACTTCAAATTTCTCTTCGAGATTAAAGATATTAAATATTCATTCAATTGCCATTGGAAAATTTTTGAAACGATATTTACTAAATTTATCATTAAAAAATCACTGCGTTGTCCCATTTATTTATTTAGGATCTCAATTATCTCACTTGATCCAAGAATTGTCGAGTGAAGTTAACTGCCGTGAACAGGATATACGAAAGATCAAATAAGCGAGAAAGCGGATAGAAAGATAAATCAATTGTAGAGCAGAGTACTATAGAGTATTATAGTTGGCAAGATAATGAGTGATGTTCTTTTGATAAATTTATATAAATTTAAATTTCTTGTATAAATACATCGTCCTGCGTTTCAAGCAAAATTTTTAAAAATTAGTACATATCTTTCGTGTGAAAAAAATTATCAGTGAAATAAAATTTTTTTGAAACTTTTTAGTGATTTTTTATTTTTAAGAAATTATGCTGTATTCTTGCATTTAGCGATTATATATTAGAAGAATTACATTATCTAAATAGAACATTGGATGTCGTGTCTCTGGCGAGATCAGAGGACCTAAAGACGGGAATAAATCTCGATACAGGAAAATCCGCCGTAGTTCTACAAGAGCGTTTATCTTTCTTTTCCGTTTACAGAATAAGATCCTGATATTAATAAAATACAAGCTTGATCGATATTGAATTCTGTAAATAAATTCATCTTTATTCAAAATAAGCCATGACTTAATCTTCTGAACTATATCTTCTGTTTTGTTGTAAGTCTTTTAAACGTTGCATGTGTAATGAGCTCGGAATATAAATGCGACTAGGCAAGTTTGTTATTCTAATTGTATTGTAAAAACGCGGTACAACAATATGCGTTTGAATCCAATTATAAATTCTCTTGAATAAATCAGAATAACTTTTTATGATAAATCTTTGCGGTGTACATTTTACAAATATCGATAAAAAATTATTTAGGTAGGTATTATTTGAAGAATTACAAGAGTGATATAAAAAAATTACGAAACCATACATTGGAATATGAATATTCCAATAAAATTAACTCCCGGAATTTTTATGCAAAATATTGCAAAATCATCTCGATAGAGAATAAGAGCTGGCACGACTTTCAGAATTGGACTTGGATTGCCGCTGCGATGTGTGAACTTTGGTGCGCAGAATTTCGGAACTGCGCGGAACAAAGTTCTCAAGGGGAATGATGGAAAAATGTCGTCGAGAATACGGGTTGAGAAAGCGTCGTCGAGTATCGCCGTCAAGCGCGCGTAAGGTATAAAAGATTGCATCGCCGGAAACTGCGATTGCTCTGGCACGATTCGTCGTACGACGTTTTCCATTCGGTATATTTTCCACCAGTGACGTAGCCAAGGTTTACGAAGCCTTCCGGCAGATGAACTTAAAGGAGGTCTCTTCACCCTTCATTTCAAAGAACGTCGGTCTCTGTCATCGTCCTCCTTTTTGCTGTTTCAATTCTTCCTCTCTTCCAAATATTTTTTATTTTTCTTGTCATTTTATCCTTTATTTCATCTTATGTTACATTTTTCTTTCCTTCTTTTTCCCCTCTCATTTTTCTTTTTCTCCTTTATTTCCTTCTTTTTTGCTTTACTTCTGTCTCTTTTTATTTCATGCCTCCTTTTCGAAGCCTTGATTACGCCATTGCTTTTCGCTCACCGTTTTGTAGCTTTCCAGCACTTTACAGTTTTATTGCACGCCTCGTTTAAAGCTTGTCGTTAGCGCCACGTTACATCGCTCGTGGATCGAACCTCTCTCGGTGGACGATAATTATCGATGTGCATGGCGTGCACACGCGTGTATTGGAAGTAATTTAATGACTCGTGTCCGCTAAATCGGGCCGGCTTGGAGGACCTTTAAGCCCGTATCTGAAATAAAATAATTTGTCGAATGCGAATGGCATGCTGCGGCGACATACCTTTCGAGATTCGGTGCACGTGTATCAAATGCACTGATATGAGCGCAGTGGCAATCCATCAAAAGGGACTTATCGCGATGTCATACGTGAGCGTATTTCTTGTTCGATTTATCACCGGGCAGTGACAAATGAGTGGCACGGGAAGAAGTTACGATGCGATTGCGAAATCGCGCATTTCCAGGGATCGGCCGATACCAATGAAGGTTTACCAATACACGTTAAACCGTGAAATTGAGTTAATTTAGAAAATGGAACAATTATCGCTCATTTGTTACACGAAATAGAGTACGCGTGTACGCGCAGTTTAATGTTTGCTCCCTTTACACAACCGTATAATTTAACAGGTCAAACTACGTAACGTGATAAAATCAATTTTGCTTAATACCCAAAGTACACACGAAATACATATATATTTTCCAATAAAAAAACCAACCAATAATTTCCAAACAAAATCATGAAAAAATTTCTTCAAGATGCATATTTTATCATCATCTAAATTTCTTTTCACAGTTTGTAACGACTCATTATTTAAAAAAGATTTTAATTCTTTCTTAACAACATTCATCGTATTTTTCCAGAATTCAATATCGAATAATAATTTTTCATTATGCTAATATTTGCTATTAAAGAAGATATATCTACTTTATACAGCGTACTGTGCTCGTGCAATTTCGATTTACTGTGAACAGATTTTTCTCCGAGGTCCTTAAACGCCATACAGAAATGAGTGCATCATTCTACGTTCTGTTTAGATCGGAGAAAACAATTTGTATAGTGCAGTCCCTTTTGTCATTGCGAGTCACGCGACATTTCTCCGTCACGCGAAGAATACGATTGTTGAATAATATGCTGCATTCAGTAGTTCAACAATAAAACCTTGTCGACGCATCGCGGCCGGTCGCGGCGGCAGAATAAATATGTATATATGTTTTGTTTTATCAAAATTTGTTTTATCAAACACTTTCCCACGTGAGAATGTGGTTATTTTTTTTAAAACAATCTGACCTCGTTCTGGAGGCGTAAGACCGAAAAGTATTGCATGTTTATTGTGTTCACAGCGACCGGTTTGTTGTGCATTACAAATGGCTCCTTGTAAACTTTTGTAGAAACACAAAGATACTTCGAAGCAGAGCCAACATCGATAAGAGAAAGACCTAAATTAAATGTAAACTTGGTGCGCAGCTTGTATACTTGTATGATAAGGCGCGTCGGTATATCGCTTTATGTATCAGGAAGGTTGCGCATGCGATGAAAGAATGATGTGCGTGTAAAAGAGAAAAAGAGAGCGAGAGATATGGCAAAAATGCGGATGCATTCTTTCTAAAAATATCGCAGTAGAGAGGCCTTGAGCGTTGACGTTTAAAAATATTTTCCAAGAGCCTCTTTGTAACAATGTAACGTTGCAAGAAGGTTGCAACGAGCAATTTTTCAAATAATAAAAGGTTATACTCCTAGAATAATAGGCTATAGATAGATTGAAAAACAGGATAATTTTAATCTTCATAAATGGTTGGCAGGAAAACTTTTACACGATCGAGCTTTAATTACATTGCGTTTTCTATGTACAAGATGAATTGTAAATTGCAATTGTGCCACACTTTTGTCTCGTTATGCCATTTGTAGATTCAAAATTATCTACTGCCGCTAACTGCCAGGCACTTAAGATCGACAAACTCTCTATAAATGCTTACTCTAATCCGTGCAACCCTTCACCTACTTTGTAATTCTGAAGATATCCCCGGTAACGTTGCATGGTCATTACAAGTCATATTAACAATTACAAGCTCTCCTCACTGAATTATGCAAGAAATTACATACCGCACACGGTAACTGCAGCACGTGAAAGAGCATCATGTAGAACATCCCGTTCGTTCTCGTGAACAACTAACTACCTACCTTACTCGTACCAAGTTGACAGTGCACTATTGTAAGCCGGAAGTAGTCGTTAAATTATGCAATAGGATATGTATTCAGGTGTGTAGAGAGAGGATCACTTCCTGCGAGATTTCAGATCGGAGACAAACTTGCATGCTATCATATACAAAGCACAATGGAATCAGCCATCCCATAGTTACTCCATAACTATCCTTTATGCACTCATCGATCACTGCAGCAATTTAGCGTGAAATAATAGTTTTATTATTTATTGCAAGAATTTGTTATAAAGATATAATGAGTTTGATGAAATAAATAAATTTAATTTGATGGTGATTATATTCCAAAGAGTGCATATCTATGTGATGATAAAATGATCAGTATTTGTACATACTTGCGGTTTGCGTTTGCATTGTGTCAATTTATAAACTCTTCTCTTTCTAAAAAATATTTATATATGTTTCTGGATCATTATTTTATTCAATTAATTTAATATTATTTAATGAAAAGTAATGTAAAATTATTTAATAAGAAACGACTCTTTGATTACAATAATGTTCATAATCTTTTTATTTTTATTTAATAAATAACAATATTAATATTTTAATTAATATTTGCAGAGTTAAATTAAAAATTATATTAAAATTATTTATACATTATTATACATTATTTTTACAAAATTTTGAATAAAAATAGTTATAATGATATTATTTAGCAATATACACACAAAATGCACATAATTTTTTCATTTAACATATTTTAATAATAATTTCTCTAAAGCATCTCGCTTAATTTAGAGAATTTAGAGAATTTAAGAAATTGGCGAGAATTTCTTTTTGTTATCACTTGATAAAATATATCTAATTCTATTTAGAGTATTATAAAGAGTGTAATACAAACAATAATAATTTAGAAATTATGTACATTAATTAAGTTATGTACATTTATGTACATTAATTATGGATAAGCACAACAATACAATATGCATTTTACCCAATTACAGAAAGCTATAGATAAGGAGAGGCTTATTTTATAAAGAAAAAATGCATTTTATCCTTAGCAAGTTCTAGTAGTTCTAGTAGTTTTTTTCCCATTATATCGCATCTATACGCGAGTAAATCTAAATAAAGCCCAATAGCGGTAAATTAAGACCAATTTTTTAAACTAAAATAACATAAATAAAAAATGCAGTGTGCTATGGTTTGTACTTACTGTTCGCGTTCCTCCAGTTCGACCACCCGAGTACTGTCTGTGTTTTGTTTAGCAAGTCCAAATTAAAAAGTAGAGCAGAAACGAATCAGTTTTGTGTTAGTGAAAACTACTGAACAAACGCATACTCACTGCCATAACGTCAACTGTTATTAATTACGGCTTGCGTGAGTATTTAATTAAAAAAGACTTTGGAGGAAATTATTTTTTTATATTTCAATACTGTAAAGTTAGAAAAAATGCAAATTTCCAAAACAAGTTTAATTTAATTAATATTATATTATATTTTATTAACTTAATTAATATTATATTATATTTTGTTTTTCTTTCATTATGGTAGAAATTTTCTGCCAGATATAATTGAAACATATATTAAAAATAATCAAATATCATTTCAGATGAATATATGAATGTCCAAACATTAAAGCAGCGAAATTGCAATTGATACATAATAAGATTAGTTCATAATTTTAATTTAATTAATTTATATGTTTTATTTAAATATCTACGTTCATTTTACGAATATTATTAAAATTACGTGCAGCTAATTAAAATTAAATAATTAAATAATTATTTAATAGTTAAATAATTAAATAATTAAATAATTATTTAATAGTTAAATAATTAAATAATTAAAAATTAAAATAATCAATTAAAAATTTAAAAACGAGATAAAAAAACTTCAGCAATTAATTAATACTGCGGATGTGAACTCTTTGCAATTATTACAGAGCAGCTAACTTTAAAGTGGCAGCTATTGAAAAAGGTACTGAAAAAGATTTCGCTATTTTTTCTATATTGTTAAACTTATTATACTTGGAAATTATGAATTTTATTTGTAAAGTAATATCTTCCGAACAATATTACGTTACTTAACAATTAAAAATTTTACATTTTGTGATATTTTCAAGCCAAATAATGATGATTCAGTTTACTCCTATAAATCTATACTTTTTATTTATGATTCTATTTATAACATCTTATTTATAATTAAACAAATTGAGTTAATAAAAACTATCAATTAATTCTCTTTCTTATTAAAATAATATAAAAGAAATCACATAAAAAAAGCTCTCTGAAATGGATAATTATGCATATAACATGTTCTTGGAAATGTATATATATTCAGTACCTACAATCCAGAATAATAAACTATATTAATTTAAGATAAATTTAATTTACGGGTTGGATTCTTTAATTTTCTAAATTATAAATAACGTTATAAAACTAATCACTATAAAACTAATCTGATCTTTTCTGCAAAAAATTTCTGCAAAAATTCGATATCAAAAAATTCTTTATAATTTAACATAGTATTTCACTTCTATATAATATTCTTGTTTAAATTATCTTTTTATCCCATATATTCTTCTAATTGGTGTTGTATGCAATGTATTTAAAATATCTTTGAATTATTTTGATAAATATCAACATCCCATAATATCAACATCCCACTATAACTGCAATTTATATTTTAAATTACATTTACAGCAAAAGAAAATTATTAAAATTAAATACTTAATAATAATCAACGTTATAGCAGCATAGCACGTGTTTTCTTTGTTCTTAATTTATATATATTCATCTAAATGGAAATATCACGTTGTTCAACTACTTTATACAGAAATATCAAATAATGAGCACATGCTTTTATTCTACTTAGCATAAACTATATACGATAATATAATATTGTATACAATGTGTAATATATCTACATCTGTTTGCGCGAATTAATTCAACAGAACTTTATTAAGAAATAAACTAATATACTTTTAGAATAATATACTCGTTCTGCAAATAAATACGTATAATTTAAACAAATTAGTTTAATAAATGCTTTATATCATTAACGTAACTTTAATATACTTACGATTATGCGTGATTAAAGCCATTATTTGTTACTATTACTTAAGATGTTTTACATTCAATCAAATTAAAAAATAAACATATAAAATAAATACCAATAATTAAGTTAATAGTTTTTAAAATGTAAAAAAGTAATTGATTTTAACTACATGGGAAATTACTTTTTACATTAACAATGATAATAAGAAATATATTAAGAATATAAACATAGAAATGACTATATATTATTTACTGGATAATATACAAATTATACTCATAAGGGTGTATAAGAAAAATTATTACTTGCAAAATTATTTTCTGTGTTTGTAGTAATTATAGATTTAAGATGAATATAAAATAAAGATATATCCATTTAGCTATATAATTTTGGGTATACTACTATTTTGGATATTATTTTGGACGGAACATTTTATACAATTATAATGTGTATTGATTTAATTAAATCAAAACAATTTATATATTTTGTTATTTTTATCGTTGTAAAATAATTATAATAATAGCTGTAAACTGATGGATTGAATTTCTTCGAAGCCTTCTTAAAAATATATTTCAAATATAAATTCGGATCTTTTGAAATATTTATATCCTTGAGAGTTCAATAAAATAAATTATTCTTGTACAACAAAAATCTAAAAATTATAGTATTTTCACATGTATTTACATAATTTCCTATATAAATTCTTAATGTCATAAAAAGGACTCGAAAAAATTCTATTACATCATGCAAATCGCTGCAATGAGCAAACGATTGGAAATAACAACATGATATATCAGAGACAACTTACATTTCATTTCGCCGCGTTTCCGGCAGACGATGAAAATGGCCACGCAGATTAGTATTAGGACTAGTATCATGACCACCGCTACTATGATAATAATCAGTAGCAGATTACCCTCCAATTGATGCCACCAAGGTATATGACCTGTAATATAATAGGTATGAAATACAATAATCGATAACGATATGTAAACAGTATGTATGTGCAAGAGTGATGACGCATAAAAGGCCATTGTTTCTACTAAGATATGAAATTACTAAGAGCAATACAATAAGCGATGAAAAATAATATTGTCGCGCTCGCGGCGGGCACTCGCGAAGTCTCGCGAAATAAACAAGACCACTTTATCACAAAGAGCAAACCTTATTAATTATTAAACGAGAATAAGAAAATTAAAAGAATAGGCAGTCTTCTTTAAAAAAAAAATTAGTCTGATCGTCGGGCAGCAAAACGAGAAGATCTTCTTCCCCCCGATCTTCTTCCCCACGACGTTCTTGCACAACTCATCTTCACGAAAACTCAAGAGAAAACCAAAAGAGAAACAGTCACTTCTTAATAGAATAAGAATATTTTTTTTTATTCAACGTTTCCCCTTCTTCGGACGGAAAGAATAATCAATTCCCCCACAGATTCCGATGAAAACCACGACCTTCAAGATCGCTTTCCCAAAACGGAATTCACTGATCTAAACGAAACCCATCTAAACAGATTCGACTTTCCGGTCACAACAGAAGAAACTTCGAAGAATATTAAACACCTTAAATTACTCGATTACCCTCCTATCTAAAATCGAGACATCGAAGTCCGAGCTAAACTCGAAAAACATACGTTCGTCCGACAAATCAATCCGTGTCAAAAAAAAAGTCATCGTAAAAGAAAGAATTTTCTAAAACTCGAAACCGCGCAAATGCAAATTAAAAGAAAAACAGAATTATTTTATGAAAGCAAAAAGAAATTAATCAATTAACGAGTGGCCTGGCATTTGGCGCTGACATCCAGTCGCCACTCGACCCGTTCCTCCGCCGAAAAAACAATCTTCCATTCCAGAGTCAATCTCGCTGCGTCAATCCGCAGCTTTTCTTTCCTGCAGGAATCGCTCGTCGCTTCGCCATATTAAGGACGATTTATCTGCTCGATCCATTCGATTCCGGACGAGTTTCCAAAATGTCGCGCTTGCGAGCACTCGCAAAATTTCGCAGCGGGCACTCACGAAATAAACAAGAACGCTTTATCATAAAGAGCGATTTTTATTAAACGAGAACACGAGAATCAAAAGAATATTCGTAAAGATGATAACGACAGCTCGGCAGCTCTCCCGCAATCGACTTCACTCAAAACAAACAACTCGTTAAGAGCATCGAAACATTTTGCGTCACGTCAGTAGGGAAATCTTCTTTTTCAAATATCGATTTTCGGGGGCAACGATGAGCGGATCATCGTTTAGTCGTAACAGTATGTTTGATTCATTTGTATACTTTTTCATAATTTATTATAAATATATTATGTATCGTTAAAAACTAGAGACAGTATATGAAAATAGAAAAATGAAACTAGAGGAACGGTAGAAAAACTGGATAATTATAAAAGGCGTTTTAAATTTTTATAATTATTTTGTAAAAAAAAATTGTAAAGTTTTATCCTAGATAGAACACAAAGTTTAATAACGTGTTTTCATTTTATTCATTTGTATAACGCGTATGTGTATCGCGATATACTACATTACGGCTAAAATTATAATTAAATGTTTATTAAAGTAAACAAATATATATCATATTATTGCGTGTGTAATATACATATAATTTAAAGAATAATAATTATTATTACTAAATAAAAATTACATATATGCATATATAATAATAATATATAAAATATATTCCATATAAAACTTGAAATGATATGGCTACAACTTACGTTTAGTTCCATGGTGGACTGTAAAGCGATAAACTCTGCTAAATATTTGTGAATTTTGACAGATCAAAAATTATTAATTTTATTATAAGTTAAGCAATAATATCAATTATGCTACAAATCTTTATGTCTTCAAAATATCAAACAGTTATTGAATAATAGTTATAAATGAAAAAATATGTGAATATTATAAAATATTTCTAGTTTAATAATATTTATATTGAGATTATACTGATTTATTGTAGAAACTTTAAAACTTATATTATATTTCCAATGCTTTTCTAGAAATTTGATTTTATCGTGTATATAGTGGGAAATTTTGTTTTAGTCGCAATAACTTTTGAATCATATAACGCAAACTCACCAATTCTATGCCTAGTTGTTAGAAAGTTTTTCTATTACAGGATTAGTATTTTTCTCGTATTTCCATCAATATAAAAAAATTGTTTTGAAACGCAATAATATTTTTTCAGATTTTTTCAGATCATTAAAACGTTTTGAAAAGTATCGCTGCTATTTTTATAAGTGTAAACGCGATGTCAGCGAAGCAATGAAAAGTTCATACCTGGTATGTCGCGTTCACACGCTGCGGAATGGCCAATTGTGTTGTTCGCCACACACACGTATGTTCGGAAGTTAGTGACCGAGGTATCGAGGAGCATGTAACTTCTTCCATTTCGTATTACCGGGACGTGCTCCAGTGTGTCGTTTTCATTCTTCAGCGACCAAGTGAAATCTGTCTCTTTCGGATTGGCGACGGCTGAGCAAACGACGTAGTCATGGCCCCCAAATCGTTCTTTCTCTATGTGACATTCTGGTTTAACTGCATGGAAAATATGGCATCGTCGTTAGACAGCGTTGGAAGCGCGAAGAAAAATTGAGATTGTTTTTTTAAAGAGCGCATGATTAATGGTATATATTCTGAGAAGAACTAGTTAAAAAAAAATTTATGCTTCTTTTAAAAATATAGTGTCATGGAGAATATGCAGAAATATAATTTGAGAGAAAAAAATATTCTTTTTAATTAAAGATAAATAGTGAAAGACGGGAGAAAAATTGTAAGAATAATTAAAAAAATTTTCCGTTTATATCTTTTCATATACTGCAAATAAAAAAATGGAGAGAGACTCGCGAGACTATTTGATTATTCATTCAGAAGTCTAAAAATACGAAACGTACATTGCACATTCATGATCATTGAGATATTCAAAGAACCATGACGATTGAACGCCTCACAGTAGTAAGTGCCGTTGCTACGTCGTGGTACTGGCATTTTCAAGTCAAGCACGTGGCCTTCCATAATAGTATCGGTGGATCCTTCGCGGAACCAACGGAAGTTCGGTTTCGGACGTGCCTGCGCATCGCACTCGACGGTTTCCGGTACTGTATCCACTACCACGTTAATTATCTTCTTCGATATTGTGATATCTTCCGGAGGAACTTTAATAAAAAAAAATTGAATTTCGTCATTTACATATGTCACAATGCAAAAAAGAGAATAAAGAGTTGCAATATAATTTTAAATAAAAAAATGAGTCTTTATTCAATTATAATATTTTTTTCCTTTAATTTGTGGAAATATTTCTTACGCGTTTGAAATAATTTTATAGAAACGATTATATTTTACATATATTGTGTAAATGCAAAGTATAGTCAAATTTATTACAAATTACATTGAACGTCTTGCGACAATATCAAATTCAGAAAATTTTTTCTTATGATGTGGCACAAAAAGTTTTCGTTTCTTTCGCAATCTCGCTAACGAATGGAAATCAAATATAAGCCCTTATAAAATCAAATATAAGCAAGTGGATGTAAAAAGAAAGATTCGAATGAAACGTACACTCGACATGAAAGTGAGTACTACTCTCCACACCCGGGCCAATCCTGTTGCTGCTACTCTTGCAGGTGAATTTGACGTTATCTTCGGCACGGTCGAGCTGACCGTTCGGCCAGACCGTCAGATTCCATATGAGAGTCGATTGGATGCTCTCGAAGTCGTTGGTTCTTGGGTCAGGCGGATGATAAACGTTCGACACGTAGTATCGATTCATTCTCGTGAAGTCCATGGGAATGTCATCCCTCAGCCAGGAAATATTGCAGATCGGGGCGCATTCGACCCAACACATGATGCTCACGTTAGGTGAGTTGTAGACGTAACCGCGATACGAGTGCAGCTTCTTAATGAACGTCGGGGCCGCTAATGAGAAACGATAACTCTCGGTTAAGTAGTAATAGGATTTGTCACTCAATAATTATGAGAAACGTTGAATGATCTATTATGTCATGTACAGAAATAGAAGACCCCCATTCAACACAAGACCATTTAATGTTTGGATTAGATTTATTACAAAAATCGATATGTGCTTTATTATATACTTGTGATATTAGATACTTAAATAAAGAATTAATAAAATAATAAAGAAATTAAAACAGAGCAATTAGCTTGTGATAAGATTACAGTTCAAAGCTTTTCTCAGAACTTCTGAATTTAATTTTAGTAAATCATATCGTTTCAAATATAACGGGCAGAATAAATAAAATTATTTTGGTTCGCGAATATCATCGGCCGGGTTCTAAAATGTCGCCGCGAAGAACTCGATAATTGCCGACAACGGTTTTAGAAACATTGACATATGTCACTCACCAGAAACATCGATAAATGTTGTGGCCGGCTCTCCGTCGCCAGCCTCGTTGTAAGCCAGACACGTGAAATTTGTCTCGGTTTCCAAATTAACTGACTCGATGAAGAGCGTGGCTTCGTTCTCGTCTGGAAGCCGGTGCGAGCCGCGCAGCCACTTGAAGCCCGACACCCTCGGTCGGCCGGGATCCAAAACAAAGCAAGTGATGGATAACGCTTGTTTCTTCACCACTTGCCGAGGTTCGTACGTTATCGATGCCGCGCCGGGCTTATCTGCGGAAATGTTTCAGGAATATAGGGCGCGCGGGGAGGAGGGAGAGCGAAACTAGTAGCCACGCTAAATATAATCCGATTAATGTAACAAGATACGGCATTGTACGTAAATGGTATCGGTCGCGTACATATGCAAGATAAAGTCCACAATCGATAATTTACCGTTACCACTGTGGTGTAATTAATGTCAAGTATAAACAACTGTTATTTGATATCTGCGATGAAATATTACAAAGACTTGAGATCGTTATTTCATACGTTGTATTTTTCGAAAATTTCCATCGACTGATCTGACGTAAAGTAAAATTTTTAATATATCGATAAGCTATATTATTTCCGTTTGTCACTGGAGAACACACTGGAAATTCGGAACATGTATGTAACAGACGTAACGTATTTATGGCTGGAAATGTAATGGGTACCGCCAACTTCGCTCCCGTCACCGCGTAACACGAATGACTGACGTGTGACAGAGAGGACTTACAATAAACTATGACAGGCATGCTCGGAGAGATCGGTCCCCAACCGGCCTCGTTTTTCCCCTCGCAGGAATAGTTGCCATGGAAGGTGCGGCCAACAGATTCCAGTAGTAGTTTGCTGGGGTCGATGTCACAGAATGTCAACGATTCCTCGGAGGATGCCGTGCTGTTTCTCGGACAATCGGGAAGTTCTTTCAATAGATCTCCGTCCAAATACCAACGAACAGCTGTCAGTATGTGTGGGTTACCGACGTCGATCTCGCACGTTAACGAAACATTCTGACGATCTGCCTCGTTCACAGGTGTTTCCGGATCCATTATCACCTCCACCACCGGCTTGTCTAAAATGTGATAAAACGGGATATATATACACCGGTATAAATCTCGCGTGAGTTCGAAAGTATCTACAGCGCACGCCGAACTCTCTCCAACTTTATTCCAGATATAATCACAAAGCTTTCAATGACGCTGTCGTTTTCTAATAAAAGGAAAAACTGCTCCGCACAGAAGCGAGATCGTTATCGCCGCGAGAAATAAGAAGATAAGAGAGCTTTCGATGAAAGTTCAATGGAATTCTTCCACAGATTTAGATTTATTACCATTCGGAGCTTTATAATCCGTGCAAAATCGTAGCATTTTAAATTTTATCAACTGCCCTGTATTACATTCAGCAATTGGCTAATGCTATTTGTCTTGTAATACGTACAAAAGACTGAAACTTCCACGGCGTCCTCGGAAACGGATGAGCCAACGTGGTTTTCCAGGATGCATTTGTAAGAACCCATGTCGCTAGAAGTCGCGTTTTTCACTGTGAGCGCTGTTTGTTCCGTGATTCCACCATCGTAATGTTCTTCGTTTAACACTAATTCGTCGTCGTCTCGTAGCCTGCATTATCCGATTAAAAGAGAAATAAAAGAGAAAGAAATAAAGATAGCGCTAATTTGTTTTTCAAGTTGTAAATAGCAACAAAAATAAAAAACAAAGACGTTTAGTTTCTAAACTGCTAAATTTATCTAGAATAAATCTTTATTCTTTAGATCGAAAATAATTATTATTTTAGAAGGATTCAACCATGCTGGTATATATTTTTACACAGTAATGGTTACTTACCATGTTACTTTTAATAGCGTAGCCGGATTTGCCTCATAGTCGCAGAATATTATAAAGTCATCTGTCTCATTAACTGTTAAGTTATTTGGCTTTATTTTGACTACTGGCGGATCTGTAACATAAAAAATATTACAAATAAAGAAAACTTATTAAAGTATTAAATTTAGACTTAGCCGTAGAGAACTTGTTAGGAAAAATTCGAAGAAAAGGATGTGAGAAAATCTGTTTAAGAACAAGTATGTATTTTAATCTTTTAAATAATAATTTTAACTTTTTCATATAATTTTATTTTTTCAGTGTATATTAATTCTTTTTATATTTGTCTAGTTTATTATATATATATATATATACATATAATGTTAAAAATTAAATACTTTAAATGAAAAGATTCAAGTGATATATCTTGACAGTCTTATTAATAATACAGAAGCAGATTGCAAAGTGTTAGTTTGATATTTCTTAAAATTTTGCCTTATTTCAACGTTTTAAATATTTTTAATTATTTTCTTTCATATAATTTCCTTTCTTTCCTTCGACATTTAGGATCATAAAAATTCTTTTATCTTCATGACTGCCTTCTACTCAAGATGATTAACGCAAAACTTAAATTGAATATAAAATGTAAATTCGCTCAAGTCACAATATTATGCATTTAACGCGGGTCCTCGTAGAAAACGAAGAGGATATAAAACAAAATTCTCGTAAATACGTAGAGACGCGAGAGTTGCTGTCACGATGCAAGCCAGAGAGTTGGAAACGTGCCAAACTCGATGTCTGGAGTTTCTCGTTTCCAATCCATGGGTAGTCCTCGTTTTGGCTGCAAAACGAAAGTTTCTTCGCTATTTCGCTCTGTAAGTGGAAACATCAGAGTGATACACAACCGACAATCTCTTTTTGTCCGGTTCTCGTGCTCGTGTAATCAAGACATTATGTCTTGAATGAAAAAAGTTGTAATTGCATTCATGATTGTAAAACATGCTCTTATAAGGCTCTAATAATCAGTATTCCTAAAACGGATGATCTACGTGTAATATTATTATGAAATGTTAAAAAAAATAATAATTTTCTGATCGGTCACATAAAATAATACTAATACTAATTACTTCAATTTTTAATTACGCTTTTTTGGAATAACTACTTTTTGATATAAGTATATTTATATTTTTAATTAGTAAAAAGAATTTATATTTTTCAATATATAGAGACAACGCAGAAACAAAAATATATTTTCAAAAATTAAGCTATGTGACAAGATATCGTAAAAGCATTCACAGTATATATCAGCAAAAGTTGTCCGTTTAACATATCGACTTTAACTTACTGAAGCATGTAACTAGAAAATTGTACAAATATTTCATGACTTATACAAGTTAACCTTTCAAAACGGCAACATAAATATTTATTGATGTTTGAATAAAAAATATTCTTGATTTATTTAACTTCTTAATTTCTGAAACTGTCAATCGCTCCTTTAGGGTAAGCTCCTTTTGACTTCTACAACATAAATACAGAAGTCTGTTAAGCTTTTTCAATTTTGTGTGTGTGTGTGTGTGTGTGTGTGTGTGTGTGTGTGTGTGT